TTGATGATTACTATAAGCAAAAATAAAAAAGGAGAAAAGGGACAATTTAATGAGTTTTTAAACAATCAACAAAATATTTTCTACAATCTGCAAAACAATTTCATACAAACACAATAATTTTTCATATAATTATAAAAAAAATTGTGGAAAATTAATAGTTCTTAAAAGTCATTCAATTTTCATTTAGGATTAATACTTGCAGAACTTCTGTTAAAAAATGAATTATACATTATTTACTAGGTATGTCCAAAAAAAAAAATTTTTGAATTCAACCTAGCACAGTATCTCATTTTGTTCCTTTGATGGAAACTAACTTTTATGCAAATTTTGGCATTTATATTTTGATATTTACAAGTTGCTCAATGGAGGTGAAGTTTAACAGTACAGATAAACTTGCCGCGGCTGCACTTTTTTGACTGAAATCTTCAAACTAGAATCACAAGATGATAAAATGTGATAGATACATTACTATTCATTTCAAAAAGACATACTGGTTATGACACAGACAGTGCAGACACAATCAGTCACACATTAACAATTTTTAATTTATCAAAATTAATATCAAAGAAATTAACAGCAATTTTTAAACATGTTCGTTCAGATTTTTATTGCATGCTCATTTATTGTTCACGTGTTCAAAGTTCAACTTATTTCAGTTTTCAAGCTTGCGACGTCTACCGAGGGGCATATGCCATCAGGGTGCTTTTCCGGTAATCTGGAATGCGCTTCCTGTTGTCCTCAACAACTTGGAGGAGTTTCTGCATTTCAGACTCTGTCTTTGTTATTGACTGGTTTAAAGAACTCATCAGTGCAATAGAGCGCTCGGCAGTATCATTGATAACCTTGAGAGAAGCAACAACAGCTTTGGTTTTTCGAAATGAAGCACTTTCTTCCCAACTCGGGGGCTCAAGTCCTGACAAGGTAGTTATGTCAAGTCCAAGTGACTGCAATGCAGCTGTTGATGATGATGTTACCAGTTCATGTAGTTGCTTTTTCTCCAACTCATTACATTTTGATACTGGAAACTTGTTTCCCCTGACACTCCAATCATCTCCACTGAGGATCATGGCTTCCGCAATCAACTTCTTTTCTTCATCAGATACTTTGCTGGAGAACAGTGAAAGAGGAACCATTTCTGTTCCAAGATACCACATGTGATTCTGCAATTTCTTCAAAGCTGCTTGTGAAACAATCTTGTGTACCTCAGCATATCTTTTTATTCTCTGAAACAGCATCAAATCATTCAATGGTGCATCACTTGCCACTGGACAAGCAATCCAAGCTGGTACATAAATGTGAGCTGCAAAAATGCAAAATTCAGACAGGTTTTTCACCTCAGTTGAAGTCAGTTTGAATTCATTCCTGAACAGGAAAATCTTCATACTGATTGTATGATTACTTCATAATCTTTGATTACTTCATAATCTTCGTACTGTTGATCTTGACAATGGCGTGCTTTGTAGGTCCTGTCCACTGGCTTTAGCAATTGCTGCTGCCAAAATTGTAAACTTCTGGTCAGATAAATTTATGCGATCAAGTGTTGATGAAACATCTGGTGACGACAGAATGTTCTCCAAAATGCGTGGTCTTTTGTTAACTGTAGTCCATTCATGTCCAGCATCCACTACCTCACATAGCTGCTTCTTGTGATATACTGGTATCTCTATTTCGTAATCATCATCTTCAATATCCTCCTCTTCTGCTCCGTCACTGTCGCTTTCAAGACCATGATTGTGATGGCTGCTTCTGGCACTTGCATCTCTCCTTTCTTCCTCACGCTGTTTCCTTTCAGCTTCAGCCTGTCGACGCTGTGCTGCTCGCTCTTCTTGTTGTGATAATCTTACATCTTCTCCACTCATCTTCATCATGCGAGCATTCCGCTGATCCTCCAAAAACAGCTTGTCTTCATCGATTTTGATTAATGTACCTGTATCTTTGTGAGCAATATCAAAGAGTAGATTCAGTTTGTCTTTAAATGCTTTTTCTCTAGCTAGCTGTGATTCACTTTCTCTTCCTTTATTCTTCTTGATCAAACTGTATTCATCAAAGCATACCTTCACCTTTGACACGATATGTGGTTGATAGGTCATTGGTATCCGTGCCTTGCTCCAAATTTTTACCAAATCAGATGAGGTTGACTTTGCACTGGCAGATACTGTCTGTTTTATTGTTTTGTGGTAATGGAAAAATGTACGAAGAACATCGCCCGTTGTCGGAAGGACATTACTCGGTAGGTCCTTTTCAGGTTGACCAATCAGCCAAACAGCAGTTCGAGTGCGTGTCAGTGGTACAGCGTTTGACTTTGCAGCCATTTTCAGCAACAGTCTAAAATTAAGATAGAAGCATTTTAGAATTAATAACAAGATAGGCCTATTAATTCAATGAATTCATATAAAAATGATTTATTAGAATATATTTTATTATTTTTATAATGGATTCGGATTGTCACAAATAAAGTTTGAAACCCTACTAATGGTTCAACACAGCATTAAGCAGGTTGTCTATAGTTCCTACAACTGTTTAATAGAATGATCAAATAAATATGAAATCAGCACAAAGTAAGAAACTAATTGAAACTATTATAATTACCTTTATTGAGAGTTTACATCAATGTATTAAATAAATTCTGTATAAATTCACAAGTTTGCTGAAATAATTCTCATTTGCTACATTGACAATGACATCATCATAGAATATCTAAATTCTAAAAACACTAAATAAATAAGTAATGCAAATGCAATGGTGCTTTACAGTCAGTAACCTTATCATAAAGATTGGTCAAATGGACAGATTATTTTCTGTTGTTACAATTTTATCGCGGACTCGCGGGTAACCCAATGCTGATGCATATTGAAAAACCTTTGGGGCCATTGAGCAACCCCTAAATATTAATTGATTAGGGATCTTTTTGGAAACATGACTAAATATTGAAAAACGAACAAAATGAGCCTATGTGCACTAAAATCGGAAGAAATTTTTTTTCCTCCATGTATATGTGGACATCCCTATTATTTACAGCAAGTGATGAACTTTTTTCAGTCATGAAAGTATTTAAAAACTTTAACTTGAACCAATCAAAAAATAGTTTTTTTTTGTTTGTTTTATTGAGATTTTCATTTTTATAAAATTTCTCAAAATATGAAAAAATGACTTAATGAGGTTATTATGAAATAATCATGACAATATTTAGATATACATTTACTCACTATTTTTGCTGACCTAAATCAATATGACATCATACTACATCATACTAAATATATATGCATATATATATGTATACATATGTATATATATATATATATATATATATATATATATATATATATATATATATTCATTCATTAAATTCTTTTTATTTGCTTTTCATATTTCTCGACATTAACTGCACTAATTTACTTAATTACCGCAAAACTACTTTAAATCATTTATGTAGAAATGTTATTATTTAAAAATGTTTTGGAATGTTTCGTTTTTTAAAATGTAAAAACATTTGCTTATTTTCTTGACGTTTGACACGTTTTGTCTATACTAAATGAATAAAAAACATTATAACTAAAATTTAAAAAAGATTATAAAATATGCTAATATTTGATTTTTTTTTTTCTTCAAATATGTAATTTAAAGTTTTTCAATTAATTATTTTTTCTTTTTAAAAAGTCAGCAAGTAATAAACTGGAAATTTTAATATTGTACGATTAAAAACTGTGCAATAGCTAATATTTTTACCAGCGATTTTATATAATATTTACTTATTTATTTTTATTTATTTTCATAAGGGGTCGTCCATAAATTGTCACGCTATAAGGGGGAGGGGGGTTGATGGTTTTGTGACGACTCATTCAAAACTCGCTTCTTAAGTGTTATTTTGTAATGAGGGGAGGGGGGGAGTTCGAAAACGGTCAAAAATTGCGTGACATAATTTATGGACGACCTCTAAGGCGGTTGATAAGCACAATCACTCGTATTAATAAAAAACTTAAACGAACGTTTTGAATAGTTTTTTAATGTTAACAAGGAATTTTATTTTTAGTAAAATAAAATAAAAAGTTAGAATAAAAATCTTATAGGTATAAAAGACATATTTCAGCCAAAAAATTATTCTTAAAAATTATTATTAAAAATTATTCGAAAAACTATTGACGTTCTATTTTTCAGCAGCTGTTCTTGAACACGCTTAGTTGAGTTTCGGTAACTTTTAACATAAAAGCGATCGTTATTATTTAAGTAATTTTTTTGTGTTACTTTTTACAAAAATTTTGATAACTGTACTTTTTTATTGAATCAAGTAGAATACGTTTTAATATTTATCCTTTTTTTTTTTTTTATTTGCGCTCACCAATTTTTAAAATGTTTCTTCGAAATTACTCTTAAATACTTTAAATACGTCTAAACAGTTAATAAATATTTTTAAATCTATGGAATAATTTTAAAACCTAACAAACCCCCGTAAAATAATTATTTAAGTTTAAAATCTAAAACTAAAAGAAAGTATTTTTGTCAATTTTATCGACAACTTTGCTATTGCTGAATAATTTTATTAAAATGTTAGCTTAAATGATTTAATCTTTTTTTTTAATCTGAATTTTTTCTACTTGTAAATAATGAGCAAATTTAATTTTTTTTAATTCAAACTTTTATATCAACTGCGTGCGGTTTTTAAAATACTTTATTAAATGTTAAAATAATTGTAAATTACTTTATTAAAATTCCGTTCAAAAATATCTTTAAATATTCTCAAACAAAAATTTTTTTGCTTAACGCAAATAGCCCTAGCTACACGCAAAATCGCTCTTGGACGACGTAAAATTCACATCGCCCGACGCTTTATCGCAAGGCCTGTATATACACACACATACACACACACACACACACACACATATATATATATATTTATATATATATATATATATATATATATATATATATATATATATATATATATATATATATATATATATATATATATATATATATATTATATATTAAAAGTAAAAACAAACTATTGTTTTATGTCGTTGTCTATGATTCTTCATAACTTTCATGTGTTCAAAGTATGGAATGGGTTTTTCTGGTGATCCACTAAAATGAAAAATTAAAATCTAGAGTTTTATTATTTATTGTTTAAAAAATGAGTATAACAGATAACTATTGTGTTTTGTGGAATGTGTCATATGTGCATTAGGGTGTGTCATTTAAAAATGATTTTTCGTAATTTAATGCTAGATTTTTAAATTTAATTGTTAGCTACATTTTTCAAATTAACAGTTTATGACTAATAAAGAAACTACCAGATGCGCACCCAAAGCAAAATGATTGGCAGTTTAAAATCCTTTATTCTGCCTAAAAACATAATTAATTTCATATTAGAATCTTTTATTTTCATATTAGGGTATTATTTTTACTTTTTAATAGGATCTTTTTCCGAAAATCCTATTTATTATTTGTAACAATAAATGAAAATTGCTTCCCTAAAGATGTAAAATATGAAAAAATTCTTTAAAAATGTGCCTAAAACTCTGTTTGCTAAATTTTTTTGCATGTTTTGTTAAATTTTTTTTTAAGGTTTTGCATGTTTCTCCTAAACCAAATTATTACTTGGGTATTGATACCTTTAATAATTTATGCAAAGATTTTTATTAGGAAATCTAGAAAACTTTCCAATTTACATTTAAAAAAGCATTTGTCTGGATTACAAATTTTTGAAAAAAAGTCTTTGTAAAATATTTTAAGCCTTTTAAGCATAATTTTTTAAAATAATGATGTTGAAATTTATAAAGCTAGATTCTTTAATTAAGTTATTTTAGGAGATTAACATTATTTAGATCTGTTGTTGTTTCCCTAGTGATTTTTTATCAGATCAGATTCATTTTTCAGAATTTTCTTAATTTTCCAGACCACATTTTGCCAAGTGTATTTACACATTAGTATTTACACATTTACAATTTCCATCTACAGTTTTTAATCGCTTTCCTAAATTTCTTTCCATTAACCAATTAACAAGGTGGACTGCTATTATCTCTGCATGTTTTCAGTGATAAGTCTTATCTGAAACAAAGCAAAATAGATATCCACTAGCTGGTTCAGTGATAAGTCTTATCTGAAACAAAGAAAAATAGATATCCACTAGCTGGTTCAATAACCTTGTTGTGATTATTAATCAATTATCTCTCTTTATGTCTAGCATCAATAACTCATACTGTTCCTAATTCCACAGATTCTTTTAAACCAGTGTAATGTCTCATACTAGCAGTTGCTATGTCAATTCTGTTATGAACTTTTACAATATTTTTAAAAGGTTCTTGTTTTCTAGAAAAATCTAGTTTTGAGAGCTTTATTTTTTTTAAACTTAAAAATTAAATACATCTTATCTTCTATTATTAATATATTACTATTATTTCTTTTCTGTTGTATACTATTATTGTTGATAATTATTATTAAAAATTTATTTTTAATAACCAAAAACAAAATGGTAATATAGTGATGTTTTGATTGAACACCGCTATATACATATTTCATTATTTATTGAACACCACTATATACACAATTCATTTTATTGAAAGAGAAAAGATAAAGTTTATAGAGTTACTAGAAGAGAAAAGATGAAGTTTATAGAGCAAGATAACAATTGACAGACAACTTAAAAGATTGTAATTTGCAATCTTTTAGCATATGAATCAGGAAACCAAGATGAAGGAAACGAATTCCAAAGAACTGATGTTTGAGGAAAAAAATTAGACGAATAAGAATTTTCGGAGCACTTAGGAATAATCACAGAAAAAGGATGAGATTTTGATTTGATGAGATTTGATTCAATGACAAGTAACACGAGAATGAACTTTAGTAGATGGCACAAGAGACACTCTTTAGAGCAGTGCTCGTTATAGTATTTGTAGAAAAGAGAAAGAGAAGTAACATTACAAAAGTTTTATACTTTTGTAATGTTAAGTTTTATACTTTTTTTAATTTTAAATGTATACTTAACTTTTACTTTGTTAGTTCTATTTTATTTTAAAAAGTTTCTTTTAAAAAGAGAAACTTTTTCAAGTAAAATAGAACTAACAAACACATATATAACAACTGTAGAGTAAAAAAATTGTAAAGTTTACTACTTTATTAGACTACTTCATGGTCTAATAAACATATTCTATAATTACTTAGTAATCTATACAATTATAATCATCCAGAATCTTTTGATTTTCTACTTTTATTTTAAATAAAAGTAGAAAAATTTTTTAGCACTCTTCTCTGATTCCTGACAATACTCTTTTTTTCATTTTATAACTTTCTTATTCTTGTTGTTTCTTTTATGTAAATGCGAAATATGCTTTTTACAATCCAGTTTACAACCATACTTTGAACGAAACATTATTTCGCATTCATATAAAAAAAGAAGGAATTTGTCAACCTTTGAAATAAACTAATTTATTATTGATTTTTGAACATTTCCAAGGTTTATAAGCAGCCATGTCACTGATAAGTAGTTCCAGCTCACAGCCTAGAGGACCAAGGTTCAATGTGGCTCTAACCTGATAAGCAACACTGGTATGGAAGTAAGCACAAGCTACTTGGTTAAATACTCTTCCACTGTGTTCTTTGATAAAACTGTTAAATTTTCGAAGAGCACCCTGATAAAAGTCAAATTGTTAAAAGTTGTTTTACTGACCAAACAAATCCATTTACGTGAGTAGCTGATATATTTCTTGTTTTTTTTTTTTTGTGTGTGTGTGCCATTTTATTTAATAAAATATAGTCATATTCTTATTAAAGTTTTAAATAATTACCTTTTTTAATTATAAACTAAGTTTTTGAAACAAAGCGCTAAAAACTAATCACCTGATAGGAATGAATTAAATTTAACTATATAATTTGCTTTTAAAACAACAAAATTCCAATTTTTTTTTTATAATTTTATAAAAGATCAACATGTTGATGAACAAAAAAGTATATATATATAGAAACTGCTTTGTTAAAAACATTTTTAAAGGTATCACTATTTTATATATAAAAACCTATATCATTACACAATATAATTTCTTTTTCACAATATATTTGATTTTAGTCCTCAAATCAACACACCCTAATGTGCATAGATTATGTGTATGGAGATAACTATGAAGACAGACTATATCTTAGTACAGCCTGAAGATTAAGTCCGCAACTGCTCAACCTTATTTTTATTATCCCGAGGGATAATAAAAATAAGGTTGAGTCAATTCTTCTGCTGAATGCGTGCAAAGACATAACTAATTAGCATGATTCAAATTCAGTTCTAATGTGAGAAGATGACTATGATATGATCAGATGAAACTTTTTTTTTTAAGTCTAAGCATTAAAATAATCATAAAAAACAGAAAACAGTTAAGATTTTGCAGTATCTCTTTTAACAATTTTATTTTTGTAGAAAAAGAAAACAACATACACTTCTTTGCTGTCCGGAAACATAGTATTATTTATCTAAAATAAAATTTATTTTATCTTAATCAATCATAACCTTGATAATAAATATTCAAAACATTAAAAAAAAAAAGGTACTTGAAATATTTCGTTAAATTCTTGTAAAATAATTAGAAGAACTGCATTCACATAAGCTTGTTCCCTTAAACCCTCTAAACCTTCACCACAACGAAATATATTTGGTCCAAACACAATTGCTAATGCAAGAGGTGTCATCTTATTTACTGCTGAGCCATCTGCAATTGATAGCATAAACTCACAAAGGTATTTGAGCAATAAAGCATTCCCTTTTGGCATTCTCTGAATTATTTCTTTTAACATAAAAGCTGCTTTTTTCTTGTCTTTTCCATGCTGATCTTGAATTTTAATAAATATAGGTTGCAATTCTTCAGGTATAACCGGCTCGGAAAGCTCTCTCAAAAATAACTTTAGGAGACTAGCCACTGCTGCAATATCACCTATTTCTTCAATATCAGCATCACCATCTAAATAAAAATAATGAAAAAAAAAAAAATGAAAAAAAACCTTTTCCAGTATTAAACATTTTATATAGTATGTTAAATTCTGTAACATGTTATTTAAATAACAATATTATAACATCATTTAAACCATATTAAATCATTTGAAACCATATAAACAAAATTTTTATATTCTAGGACCCAGCAAATCAGTTTGATTTGATTCAATATGCAAACTGATTACTGCTTTGACTAGAGATTCAAATTGAAATAAGTTATTTGAGTTTAACAAAAGAAGATATTTAATCAATTTAATCGGTTATGGTCAATATCTTTACAATACCTTGATATACGATCATATAATAATATAAATTCAAATTATCCCCCTCAAATCTTAAAAAAAAATTCTATTTCAATTAACAATAGACTGAATCAAACGAAACTATTATTAACTTTTCTAGATGCTTTAAAATAAAGCAGATTTAAAAAGTTTGAGCTAAAATTTGAAACAAAATTGCAAAAAACCGAAATAGAAATATAATTTGGTTCAACCCTCTGTACAGCAATGTTTCATCAAGTATTGCAAAAGCACTTTTAAAATTAATAGACAAACATTTTCCTCCCCCTAATAAATTGACAAACATTTCCCTACCCCTAATAAATTGTACAAAATTTTTAACAGAAATATTAATTAAGTAAGCTATAAGTGTACAAAAAATATTGAAAGAATTATAAAAGGCCACAATTTTGCATTGATTAAGAAAAATGAATTTCTTAAAGAAAAAAAATACTTAAAATTCTAATTGAAAACAATAAATTGACTACCCTATGAATGGCAAATGTTTATCAAAAAATATTATTTACAAATGCATTGTTTCCTCACAAAATAACCCTGATAAACAATATATAGGCTTAAGCAAGGGCAAATAGAAAAAACCTTATGCCAACCACAATCGTTTAAACATAAAAAGTATTTACTATGCTGTCAAAATATATTTGGCAACTAAAAAAAATATTAATTTTAAATTAAACTGGTCTATTCTAAAAACTGTGCATGCCTATTGCAAAATTTTCAAAAAATGTATACTGTTTACAGGAAAAACATGAAACTATTACTCAATTGAATCAAGAAAATTTACTAAACAAAAAATCTGAATTAATTTCAGATTTTTTGTATATATATATATATATATATATATATATATATATATATATATATATATATATATATATATATATATATATATATATATATATATATATATATATATATATATATATATACATATATATATATATATATATATATATATATATATATATATATATATATATATATATATATATATATATATATATATTATATATACATATACATATATATATATATTTTGGAAAATACAAAAGTATATAAAAGTATATATCCTGGAAAGAAACTTTGCAATCCTTGTAAGCAAAGACCAGAAAAGAAGATCTTAAAGAAGAGAAGCAAAGTCAGGTTGAACAAGATGAGGATTTTTTAATATCATCATTCAAATCAAAAAGACAGGAGATCAATGAAGAACTTGAAAATTTTAATATATCTCCTCTAAAATCTCATTCAAATTCATCAAAACATATACTCTTAGAAGGAAAGAGAAAAGTTGCTCGCATCAACAAAATGGTAAGTAATGTTACTAGAAAAACTGAAAGGCAAGTCAATATTCCCTCAAAACTGTGTTATGAAACAAATAACATGAAAAAATAGGCTGAAAACTTTGATGAAATTATAAGCTTGATAAAAGAAAAAAATCTATGTTCTGACAAAAGGACTATTGTTCAACTTCTAACACTGGCACCCCCAAGTTGGTCAATATTAGAAGTATAAAATAACTTTGCAGTTACAGAATACCAAGCAAAGATGGCTAGACAAATTCTTAATAAAAAAAGATTGTTAGCTATCTCTCTGTCAAATAAAGATAAAGTCTTACACAAAAAAATTAAAGATTCTGTTAAATTGATTCATGACTCTAGTAATTTATTGTAGAACTATGCCTGGAAAAAAAGATTCTGTTTGTATTTGTTCTTATCACCAAAATGCTGTATTGCTAGTGGATGCCTTAAATATTGGACTAAAGTATAAGGATTTACTTTTGCTCAGTAGAAAACAAAAAACTGTTTGCTCAGTAGAAAACAAAGAAGGCATGCTTGCACAGTGTGATAATTGACCTGGTAAAGAACCCCTAACCAAATATTTGTATGAGATTTTTGGAGAATACTAAGATGATTTTGAGATACTAGAAGCAATGGCAAACTACTGATCGTGCAACAATATTGAGTTAAACAGCAGATGTCCCAACGTTTGTTGAAATATCTTTTATTGCTCTTTCTCAATCATGAATGATTGAGAAAGAACCAACAATGAACCAACTAAAAAAAAATATGGATCAATCAAACATTATCAGTATTGGTGACTTTGCCGGAAATTATGCTTTTGTAGTCCAAGATAAAATACAAAGTTGGGAACACCCAACAATGTTCTTTACATCCATTAATGATAAACTATAAAGATGATAAAGGTGTACTGAATAATATTTCTTACTGTTTTACATAAGGCAACATTACACATGATGTAACTTATGTCAGGGGCGTGGTGGCTCTAAAAGGCTTAGGCGGAATTTTATTAAAAAAGCCTATATATGCAAGATTTTACCATATGTGATGGATGTTAAGGCCCATATGTGTATGTATGTATATGTGTATATATATATATATATATATATATATATATATATATATATATATATATATATATATATATATATATATATAGATATATATATATGTATATATATATATATATATATATATATATATATATATATATATATATATATATATATATATATATATATATATATATATATATATATATATATATATATATATATATTACATATAGTATTACTAAAGTATTTAATCCAAATTAATAAGATGAGGTTTGTAGTACTCATAACTAAAAATGGTAACACCGCGTTGCAGTGACCACGTTTTTGTTTTGATTTCCTTAAAATACATATTTGCCGCTAAAGTTATGGTAACCAAAGACGATTTAAATTTTATTGTTTTACAAATCGCCATTACCACAAAATTAACAAATCAATGACTTAAGTTTTATTATGTAATGATATATATATATATATATATTCTTTTTAATATAAATTGTTTTAAATTTTACAAAAAAAAAACTAAAAAAATATATTTTGTCTTAAAAATGAGAAATTTTTTTTAAAGATTAACACACAATAGCACTCTTAAAAACGGTCTCGTAATTGGCATACTTTAAAGATAAAAAAATTTTATATTATAATTTTATTTATCAGTTACTTAATTGAAAAGTATTTTATATTTTTTTAAATATGTTATTTAGTTTTTTTTAATTTTAATAATAAATCAAAATTTAAAAAATGATAACAGAAAAAATTTAAAAGTAATTGAACCTTTAATTTATTTTAAACATACATGAATACATAAAAGTAATAAAATTTAATAAAAATGCGTTGTCAAATGCGTAAAGTGTGTAGATCTAATATCACATTATATTTTTAAATATTTACGGTATACCCGCACCTAAAATAATATACTTTTGTTAAATAATAGGGTCTAATGCTATTTTAAAAAGGTTTTAATGTTATATATTTTTTGAAACTTTTTAAATTTATTAAAAGGCTTTATTAAATTAAAAATGTATGCAGTTTAATAAATTGTGTTCATTAATAGCGGGGAGTAATTTTATAGTTACCTTAATTGTATTTGATATAAGTAAATACTTGGGAAAATTGATTTGGGAAGATAAATGATCCAAGTACCATATAACTAGTCTACTAATAAGATCTCTTTTATAATTTATATTTATATTTAAATACAGATTCAAGTAAAGGACTTAAAAGGTATTTTATTTAATTTTTAAGTTCATTTTTAATTGTAATTGTATTATAAATTTTGTTGAATTTAAATTTTAATAGTGTAATTTAAATTGTGTGCGTATTAATTTGTGGTTTAACGTTTTGCAACTTTTTTTCTTAGAACAATATAAAAAAACAGAAATCCGGATGGGAAAAGAAGAAAGAAAAATTCCAAGCTGAGTTAAAGATATTGCAATCAGAACAAAAAACTCTCTCTGGATTCTTTCCATCATCATCAAATAATTCTACACCTTGTGACAGATACCTTGGAACCAATTACATACAAGCTATCTAGTCACAGTAATCCAGTTGACTTTTCAATTTCAAAACCATCAGACCATACTAGTATTCAGTACCTCCAAACATTGGATAACAAATTAACTTTGGCAAAGGCCAGCAACAGGACAAGAGATAAGTTTCATAATTTGTACCCATCCAATTCAACTGAGCTCTGTAAAGAATATAGTATCCAGAGGTTATAAGTGCAATATTGATAACGAGCTAGATGAAACAGTTTGTACATGGGTCAGCTTTAACAAAGAGAGAGAGAAATTTTTTTTGCTTTAGATGAAATTGTCAATATATTTGCAGCTGGAAGCCATGAACGACACCGTCTTTTACTTGGATAGTTACTTTTTATTAATGTATATTTACATAATTCATAACATTTTTTTATATTATACAAAATACTAATAAAATTCGCCTAAAGTTGAACCGCTGATCTCAAAATAATAATAATTATTTGGATATCAGAGAGTTAAACTCTTTAAATCAAGATATTAATTAAATAGAATTTGTGCAGACATAAATATAGTAAATATAAAAATAATAATGGATTTTTTTCAGAATGTCGAAAAAAGTAAAAAATGCCAAAAGGCTCGTATTTAAATTAAAAAATGACAAACGGCTCAAATTTAGATGAAAAAGTGAAAAGCCCATGCGAGAATCCCACACCAGGGGCGTGGTGGCTTCTGGTGCCACCACGCCCCTGACTTATGTGTATAAAATACTCCAACTAGTCATACTAATATTAAAAACAACATTTTCCAATCTGTCCAAATTACATTTATTCATTGATGTTTG